TATATATATCTGTCTGGCGGCTTCAGCAATGCCAACTTCTTCTGTTTCCAGCCGCGATCGGCGTGCCAGTTGCTATCGACTCGTTGCCCATTGTGTCGGCGACTGCCAAACCCCCCCCCCTTGCCTAATTTAGTTAATAATTCAAGGGGAGAGAGGAAGAAACAAAATCATTTTAAAAGGAAATGATTGAATTTGAGGACGCTTATCCCAAGGAGAATTGGCTGCATTGCGGCTATGCAATTGCCCCACATTGTCAATGTTGGCATGACCGGGCCCGAGTTAATTACAAGATTATTCCCCGTACGGGGGTCCCTGTAATTGAAGTCGTGAGCGGTCTCTATTCTTCACCCATCTAATTTGAGGAGGGGGGGGGAGGGAGAAGGAAGAAAGGGAGGGGACATGGGATTATGGAGGTATCCCTTTCTTGGTGTGTGGGATGGGGTGTGTGGGGGTGCAACGGAGCACAAAAGCCAGGGGTGGGATTCAAATAATTTAATAATAATTCTCTTCCCTAATGATTTCTTCCAACAACCGGTTCACCAAACTGCTCAGAAAGTTAACAGCTGGTTCTTGCGAACGGGTGCGAATCGGCTGAATCCCACCACTGACAAGTTTTTATTTTATTTTTTTGTGGGGTCCAGACGGATTTGGGTCCCTGATCGTGCGCGCGCACACACACAACCCCTTCTTCAAGTATTCTTATGAATATTTCATTTCTTCAGCTGTCCACTCCTGAAATAACTAATGTCAAGATTAAAGAGACAATCAGCCAGAATGGAGAAAAGGGGCCGGTGCATCATGTCTCTGTTTGCAAAATCAATGCAAAACTTAATGTTGGCTTCAGGGGTGGGATTCTACCTGGTTGGTTCCGGTTCTGTAGAAAGGGTTGTTATGATTCTGTCCAGTTCAGAGAACCGGCAAATTGTGCCACTGGTTGGCGCCGGCCCTCTCCGCCCACTCACTCCTTACCTGGCATATGCGCGCCATCAAACTTGCCTGCATTTGGTAAGTGGCTATTTTTCCTTTTTTTCCCCAACCATCAGCTGTTCTGGGAGATTTAGATTACCTAGATAGCAGGAAATAGTTGGATTTCTTGCTTTCTAGCTAATCTAAAACCAGAGCTGAACCTTCCTTAGGACTGAAGCTTCTATTTTTAAGTGCAGACTCAGGTAGCAGATTGCAGAATCATAGATCTCTGAGTGAATCTGTGATTCTGCAAGCGACTCAATCTTCTGCCTGCTTTGCCTGATTTTGGGTAAAAGTTGCTCTTTATTTTAATAAAAAATTCAATATTTACATAAATATTTATATTTATATACAAGCCAGGGCCACCCAGTCACATAACCACCTAGCCACACCCACAAATTAGGCCACGTCCACAGAACCGGTTGTTAAGAAATTTGAATCCCACCCCGGTGGGCTTCCAGTAACCCCCACAGCCAATCCTTGGTCCGTGCCCAGATGACTCCGGAATCAAGTCGGGATAAATTGTCTAAGCCAAGTTTTGGCCCAATCACACACAATTACATGCACATACACACACACTGGGGCAAGATTTGCAGCATTTAAGCCACCCCCAGTTTGCTGGTTAGGGAAGGGGAGGTTCCCGCAACCAGCGTCGGTCGGAGCAAAGAGCATCCCAGTGGCATGCAAGCTGTCACTTCGTATTCGACCACCGGATGGCTCGAGCAAGCGAGCCAAGTCGACAGCTAAGGGAGGTGGGTCGCGTGGCTCACCTGGGCCACGGGGATGGAGCAAAGTGCTAAGGGGTTTTTGTGAAAGGGCTAGAAGTGTTGGTGCAGGAGTGGAGATGGGGCTCAGGATTAAGAGGTAGTTTGGTCTAGGGGCTAAGGCATCAAGCTAGAAACCAGGAGAATGTGAGTTCTAGTTTGGTCTTAGGCATGAAAGCCAGCTGGGTGACTTTGGGCCAATCACCAGGAGACGATGAGTTTTAGTTCTGCCTTAGATATAAAAGCCCGTTGGGTGACTTTGGGCCAATCACCAAGAGACTGTGAGTTCTAGTTCTGCCTTAGGTATAAAAGCAAGTTGGGTGACTTTGGGCCAATCACCAGGAGATGGTGAGTTCTAGTCCTGTCTTAGGCATGAAAGCCAGCTGGATGACTTTGGGTCAATTACTAGGAGACAGTGAGTTCTAATCCTTCCTGGGAAATTCAGGTACTTGGCAAATGGCATGTATTTACAACAGGTCATGTGTGATCAGCATTTGTCACCTTCCCAGCCAGTTCCTGACAAGCAAAATCAATGGGGGAAGCCAGATTTGTTTAACAACCATGTGATTCACTTAACAACTGTGGCCAAAAACAGTCATAAAATGGGGCAAATTTCAATTGCCTCGCTTAGAAATGGAAATTTTGGCGCTCAACTGAGTTCATACTTCTAGCATGACCCATGCTCCACCCAGATGCATGCCCCAACCCCCCCCCCTCAACCCACTCTCCTTCCTCCCACCTTGCAAAGTCCAGATCAGCCTCTCGGGACATGGTGATGTTGGTCAGGTTCTGTTGAAGGATGAAGATGTTCCGGCACATCTTCTTAATGCCGGACTCACTGATGCGCTTGAAGTACTGAGCCCCGTTGATGAGAATGCAGGAAATCAAATGACCCAAACCTGGACCAGAGAGAGAGAAAGAGAGAGAGAGAGAAATTTCAGGTCAGGAGAAAGAAATGCGTGTTTACTGGCCAGATGCTTTTCCTGTTGCCAATGCGGAGGTTATTTTTAGCCAGATATATTATCACTGTGCTCAGAGAAAGAAATATCTGTTTCTATCTAGGATCGAACTCATAGCATCCTGATTGTGAGAGATAAGAGCTCCACCTCTAGGTCACCTCACCACTATAAAACTCTTAAATTATGATACAGGCAGTTCTCAACTTACAACCATTTGTTTAGCGGCCGTTTGAAACTATAACGGCCCTGGGAAAAACGTGACTTAGCCCCCCCAATCGTCTCCCTTATGGCCATCGCAGCATCCCCACGGTTATGTAATCCGTTCCGGCAGTCCTCAACATACGACCACAATGGATCCCACAAATGGATGGTTGCATGTCCCAAGGTCATGTGAACCGCGGCCTTTCAGCAGAGCCAAGCCAACCGGGAACCCAGATCTACTTAACAACATGTGACTAATTGAACCCTGCAGGGATTCACTGAACAACGGTGGTAAGAAAGGTCATAAAATGGGGCAAAGCTCACTTAAGAAACGTCTTGCTTAGCAACAGAAATGTGGGGCTCAATTGTGGTCATAAATCAAGGACTACCTGTAAAAGGAGAGAATCGATGTACCACTGGCTCTTTTCTTCTTCTTCATTTTTCTCTGTTTCTACGATGAGAAAGCAAGACCGGGCACTTTGCCCACCTCCGCTCTTTGGCAAGAAACCCACCTTCGAAGATGTACTGGAACTTGTGCTGCTGCAAGCTAGCATTCATGGCTTCTTCCACGGCGCTGATGTCCTTGTTCAGCCGCACCACCAGGGGGTCGTAATCCATGCTCTCCACATTGGCCACAATGGCATAGTTGCCCTGTTTGGCCAAAGGGATCAGGTAGTGGAAGCAATGGACCCTGTGAACGAGAAGGGTCTTCAAACTGGGTTTGTCATGAGAAACTAGGATTATTAGAGATCCAAGGCTGGGGAGTGGGGGGGGGGAAACTCCTGGGTGGGCCTCCTCTCTTCAGGCACAAGAAAACCAAAGCAACGTGGAAAATCCACAAGGCCAAGGGAGCTATGCATGGCACCCAAAGAGTGCCATGCTTGAACCAGAGGTTCAACTGGGATGGAATGAGACAACTTGACATGGCCAACTCTCGGTGGGCAACTCGTCATGGCCAACTCACCGGAAGCCAACTCAACAAATACGAAGTTACATTCATTTCAACGGAACAAATAATAATAATAATAATGAAGTCAACCCAGAAATACAAGAGTTACAATAATTTTGACGGAAACACAGTCACCGTAATAAAAGGGATGGAATGAAACCATTAACACCGTGTTGAATTGAACCACGACGAGTTATCCTGCAGGAGCTGGTGGTAGTAAGTTGTCGTAGACTCCCAACTGGCAAACTGTATCCTAGACCAAGGCAAGTCCAAAAATGCCAGAAAATTCCTGGGATTCTGGCATTTGGATGAATCCGCCATTGACAGGCACACAGAGACCAATGACGTCTACATAGCATTCAAACGAGACAATCGAAAAGCCCAAAAGGTAACCAACACGCCAAAACACCTCCTTACGAGCAATCAACGCCCAGATAAGAAATTAACACCAAGATTAACACTAGACCAATGGTGGCTAACCTTTTTGGGCTCCTGTGCCAAAAATTGTGCATGCACTTGAACACTCGCGCTCACGTGCCAGCACCCAGAAGGCAATGTGTGCCCTCCCACGCCCCCTACGCATGTGCGCACAATCCCCACTCATCCCCACCGCCCCCTTACCTGCACTTTGCCTGAACAGGTGATTTTCTACCGATTTGAGGCCTTTTTCGGCCTCC